AATCAGAATTTTCATGGAGATCCATGAGAGATGATGGCAAACAAACCTACATGGAGCCCTGATTTGTGTCTGCTCCAGAGCTTAATTCTTGCTCCACAAGATCATAGAATTGTTTAAGTTGGAAAAGACCTTTAAGATCATTGAATACAGCCATTAACCCAGCACTGCCAAGTCTACCACTAAACCATGTCCCTAATCACCACATCTACACATTTTTTTAATAACTCCAGGGATGGTGATTCAACCACTTCCCTGGGGAGCCATTTCCATGGCTTGACAACCCTTTCCATGGAAAAACATTTTCCTTATATCCAGTCTAAACCTCCCTGGCACAACTTGAGGCCATTTTCTCTCATCCTATTGCTTCCTACTTGGGAGAAAAGACTGAACTCCACCTTGTTAGACCGTTCTTTCAGGTATTTGTAGAGAATTTTGTGCTTCGTGACCCTCCTTTTCTCCAGGCTAAACAACCCCAGCTCCCTCAGCAGCTCCTCATAAAACTTGTGCCCCAGACCCTTCCCCAGCAACACGGCCCTTCCCTGGATGTGGTCCAGCTCCTCAGTGTCTTTCTTGTAATAAGGGGCCAAAAACCCAGCACAGGTTTTGAGGTGTGGCCTCACCAGTGCTCAGTACTGAGGTACAGTTACTGTCCTGGTCCTGTTGGTCACACTGTTTGTGACACAGGCCAGGATGCCATTGGCCTTCTTGGCCACCTGGGCACACACTGGCTCCTGTTCAGCCACTGGGCAGCTTTCCAGCCACTCTTTCCCCATTGCAGGGGTTGTACTTGTGACCCAAGTGCAGGACCCAGCACTTGACCTCACTGAAATTTGTACTCTTAGCCTTGGTCCATAAATCCCTCTGCAGAGCCCTCCTGCTCTCCATCAGATCAACACTCCTGCCCAACTTATGTCATCTGCAAGCTGACAGAGGGCACCCTCCATCCCGTGGTCCAGATCATTGATAAAGACATTAGACAGGACTGGCCCCAGTGCTCAGCCCTGGGGAGCACCACTGGTGACCAGTTCCCAGCTCTGTTGGCCACCACTCTAAGCCTGGTCATCCAGCCTGGCTTTTTCCTGAATGAAGAGCACAGCCATCCCAGCCATGAGCAGCCAGGTTTCCCAGGACAGTGCTGTGGGAAACGGTGTCTAAGACTTTACTAAAGTCCATGTAGAAATATCCACAGCCTTTCCTTCATCTATAATGTTGTTCATCTTGTCACAGAGGAGGGTGAGGTCAGTCAGGCAGGACCTGCCTTTCATATCATGCTGGCTGGATCTGATAACATTCTGGTCTTGTGTGTGCTGCATGATGGCACTTAAGATGATTTGCTCCATGACCTTCCCCAGCACTGAGGTCAGACTAATGGGCCTGTAGCTACCTCATCCCTTTTCTGACTCATCTTCTACACAGTGTCTCATTGGCCAACCTCCAGTCTGCTGGGACCTCCCTGGCTGACCAGTAAATTATCCTCTACCAGCTCCCCCAGTGTCCTTGTGTGGATTTCATCCACATAAATTTGGATGGGTCTAACTGGTACTGATGACCATTCCCCATGGATTATGAAGGCTTTATTCTGCTGTCTGTCCCTGTCATTCAGCTCAGGGGTATGGGTACCAGAAAAAGACTGGTCTTATTACTGTTACAGACTGAAAAAAGAAGACATTATGTAGCTCAGCCTTTTCCTTATCCTTTGTCACTTTGTTTGCCTCCATGTTCAATAAGAATGGAGATCCTCCTTAGCTCTACTGCTGTTGCTAATGTATTTATAGAAGTGTTACTCTTTATGGAAGTGGCAGATGCAATTGTTATGGACTTTGGCCCTTGTAATTTTTTCCCTGCATAACCTCATGATATCCATGGAGTCCTCCTGAATTGTCTGCCTCTTCTTCCAATGGTTATAAACTCTGTTTTTTTTCCTGAGTTCCTGCCAAAACTCTCTGTTCAGCTAGTCTTCTTTCCCCCTGGGTCCTCTTTCGGCCTGTGGCACCTGCCTGCTTCTGTGTCTGTAGGATTACCTTCTTGAAGGCCTTCTTGGACTCTGTTGCCCCAAGGCAGAGGTTTTGGTGACCCTCTTCCTTACTTCACCAAGAATCCATAACTTAGCATTTGGTGATCACTACGCCCAGGATGGGCACAGTGACCTCCAGCCATCACATCCTCCACAAGTCTTTCTCCATTCCCAAAAAACAGGTCTAGCAGATACCTTCCCTAGTTTGCTCCCTCACTAGCCTTGTCAGGAAGTTATGTGCCCCCATGTTCCAGAAATGTCCTAGGCTCTTTCCTCTTTGCTGTGCTGTGTTTCAAACAGACATCTGGTAAGTTGAAGCTCCCCATGAAAACAAGGGTGAGTGATTGTTAGAGTTCTCCCAGCTACTTAGAGAGTATTTTATCTGCCTCTTTCTCCTGGTTTGGGGTCTGTTGCAAACTCCCACTATGATACTTGCCTTGCTGGCCTTGCCCCAGTTCTTACTCAAAACCATTGAGCCCTATCCATCACTAAGCTCTAGAGAACCAAAACACCCCTACCTCCACTGAGACACCAGACTGACAGACTCTGCTAGTACCCTGTCTCTCAGGCACTGGCTCACTGCTCTCAGACTTCAGTGTGCCTTGTTTTATCCCTTTCTCCCTTCAAATCTCTTTAAAGCTCTTTCAGTGAGCCCTGCTAAATGCTGTGGAAAGATGTTTTTCTCCCTTTGAGACACTTTTGCCCTGTCTGTTGCCAGCAGGCCTTTGGTTTTGTTCCCTTTAGCTATATCCATATGTATAACATTTATCTGTATGTATATGTATATGTATATGTATATGTATATGTATATGTATATGTATATGTATATGTATATGTATATGTATTGTAGCCTTTATCTATATTGATGCTGTTCAGCTATTGGGCTGGCTCTAAGTCAAAAATCATATACATTATATCAGCTATTCTAAACTCCAAAAAACACTCTGAGTAGTGAGTAAGTTCAGGCATCTTGCATCGTTGCTTTTGCTTTATTCCTTTTAACTCTTTTGTTATAGTACAGGCTTCTCTGGGGAACCTTGAATAAGCTGGAGGTAAAGATTTACTGAGAGTGACATCCAAGGAGACTAAAAGAGAAGTCACAAGTCTACAGGATTGCCCACTATGTGTTAAGCAACAATTGCTTTTGTGTACATGGTCACATATTATTTGATGTGGTTACAGCAAGGCAATCCCTGCCCACAGCGAGAGGGGGGATGCAGCCATGCCTAATTCATAATTTGTTTGTCTTGCATGGCTTTGAAGAAGTTGGTTGGGAATGAAAATAGTTACAAGATGAAGTGTAGGAAAAGTTATATCTCAAGTCTTTTAGGCAACAGGAGGTGGGAACTGCTTTAGGAGTGTAGGCAGTTGGTCTGTTAGGGTGTATCATTACAAAAGGGTTAACAGAGTGCTGAAGAATCATACATATCCCATGATGGGAAGGGTTCTTTTCCCTTCAAGAGGATCTCACCTGGTGTGACTGGTACCAGGGGATTCCAACACTCACAAAGTGTCCCACTGACTGAGCTGTTTCACACCAGATTGCTTCACTTCTTTTCCTGCCTGCCACCCACTGGGATTATTTGTCCAAGATCGGAGTTGAATGCTGTCATGCTGAACTTAGTGAGTCCTGTGTGGGGGATGGGAGCAGAGAGGGAATTGGAATGTGGTGTGCAGATGTGTGAAGGTGAGAGTAAAGCTTATCAGCTACTGGTTCCAGAGGGTGGTGGGCTTTTCCTTGGTTTTTTTTCCTGACTCTGCTGGTGAAGTCATCAGTTGAGCAACCTCAATTATCCAGCCATACGAGGTAAAAGTACCAGATCACTACATAAGGGTGTAAATAATTTTAAATATTTAAAAATATGACAATTAAACATAGGCCTTTTTGGTGAGCTGCTGTCTGGGTGGCCTCTATTAAAAACCTCTTGAGACCCCAAAGACACTTTCCTTTGTTGCATAATATTTTTCTTTTGTTTTTGGTAAAACAGGTTTGAACTGACAAATTTCTGTGAAGTCCTGTAGGCAATTTATTATTTAAAACAGACCTGTAAAGTTGTGCTTGTTTCAGGAATGTCTTGAGTAATCCTCCCTCTGCTGACCTACTGTGCTGACCCAGCACCTGAGAAGGACTTGACAGCCCATGGGGACAAAGGAGTGTTTTGCAACTCTGCAGAAAGGCAGGATAATAAAAGCTCATAAGAACAAAGAGTGATGTGACTGAACTTTGTGTTGCAGTTATCAGCCAAGCAATTTAAAAGAAAAAAAGAAAATAATCCTACAAAATCAGAGCATAGCCTTGAATGCACAGCAGCTGGTGACCTAAAATGGTAACCTGCACTAATTGTGCTCCTTTGGTAATGGCATATGATTTTCAGCTCAGAGAAGAAGGCTCCTAAAACTGCTTCTCTTTTTTTGAAAAATTTGTCTTGATACTCAGGTCAAGAAGAGCCTGTAAGAAGACAGCTGTTCTAGAACCCTGAGAGTGAGGGGCAGCACACATTGCTAGTGCTGTACCTGCTCTGCAGAGGCTTCTGTACTCTGAATATCACTTCCTTCACAAATCAGAAATTGCATTAGTGGTGTTGATCAATTTCCATGGGCATACCATTCCATATGCATATGTCAGGGTACTGAAGTTCTTATATTTTGATGCTATTGTGTGCTATGTCCCCAGCTTCACAGAATGCAGCATTGCATTTTTAGCCAGCTTTATACTGTGAGCTTTATAGAGCTTGGTCTCTGCTTGCCTCTGCCTGTATTTTAAATCTGTGTAAAATCATTAAACTGCCGTACATGCAACTGAAAATGTAGAGATTGCAGTTCTTTTTATTCAGTGCCCGTGCAGATGTCTGAAAGTGAGTGCACTGTCAGAACCCTCCTTTCAAAACTGTTTGTAGTCATGCAAAAGATGAGTAACACTTTGGAGGATAGAGGACCTCCAGCCAAAAAACTTTCCAAATGACCTTACAGTGTAATTTATCTTATTTTGCAGCTAACTATGGACCAAATCCAATTTGCAAAGGTTGCTTATCTTGTTCAAAGGATAATGGGTGCATCAGATGCCAGCACAAGTTATTCTTCTTCCTGCGAAGAGAAGGGATGAGGCAGTACGGGGAATGCCTGCACTCCTGCCCGTCGGGCTACTACGGACTGAGAACGCCAGACATGAACAGATGCTCAAGTGAGTTATTTCTTCAACCCTTAAATGCACTTTTGTTGAGTGTAATAATTCACGGTCAGTTTTTAAGATGGTATGTTGTGAAACACATTTGTATTTTCACCGATATCTTAAGATCATCTTAAATTTCTTTGCTAAAGAAGGTCCCAGCTCATTTTGAGATATTTAATATTCAGCAGATTAACTAGTTGATGAATTGACCTATTTTTTATTGTTATTATTATTAATTTAATTAGAGAGGTAATTTAGGGGAAAAATATATGATTCACACAGATACTCCTAGTTTTAAGAAACAGATTCCCACTATATGAAAATATAAAGGATTCAGAATAAATTTAACATGTAGGTACAGGTCAGTATAAACACTAATATACGGGTGGGCTTTTTTGTCATATTTTTTGTTCCCACACGAATTTCAGGTGACCAGACACCTCACACCAGACATGCTTTAATACATAAGTGTTGCTAATTTAATATAACAGATGTACTATTAAAAACAAACAAACAACCTTTCACTTTTAGTGAAACATTTTATTTGGAAATTTACGACCTGCTAATGTGCAACAAGATTCCCTGTTTGCATGTTTGTGCCTAGAAGCACAACTGTTAAAATCCACGAGTGCTCTGGTATCTCACATTATTTCACCTCTGTCTGGCAGTTGTGCTGATTTGTATCGATTTTTCCATATGCTCATATGTGGAGTATTACCCATATGGATTATTAATCACTGCTGTTACCTCTTATTCCTATTTAGGAGGAGAACGTTTTTGTCATAGTCTAACCAGAATCAGGTCACCTGACATAAGAACCTGAAGTGAGAAATAGCTTTTCTTTTTTTCCTGCAATAATCAAGTGTCTGCTAAATGTGTGGCACCTTTCCCCTGGTGCTGTGCTGTGTCATTGGGAGCACAGAGCTGTGAGAAAGCGTGTGCTGGTTTTCACATCACACATCATCTCGAGACTCACAGGAGGTCACTCAGTGGCAGTCTGGCTGGATGAGGAGCACTTATGGCCATGCTTGGACCTGTCCCAAGCTATCCCACCTCTTTCTCCCCATTCCCTGCGTGGGCTCCATGGATATAGTGTTCCCAACTGCTGTGTAGTATTGCAGAGTGCTGCCTAATCTGTACCAGGTGGTTAAGTTTTGATCAAAAATTAAATGAGACAGTATATGGTTTATGCATCCATTCTGTAAAGTAATTTAGAATCTTGGCCTTAGTTTTCCTAACACATTTTTGAATTCAACTTCTGCACTTGAAATCTTTCAAAACTTGGCTGTAAATACTTCCCCATGTAAAAATGTTTTTTATTATATTCGTAGGTTTAGGAAATAGATTGATTTATTTCTATTAGCCTGTACTGTGCTTGTGAGAAAGGCAAAGTAGTGTTATTGGCAGTATTCTTTAGTTTCTTGAAAAGAAAAAAATAGAGAATTTAATTGCAGAAGGTTGAGGGTGAATTCAAAACAATATTTATTTTGGTTTTACCACTTATGGAACGGGGCTTTCCCCCTGAACTACAGAATTGATTTTGAAAAGCATAAATGCAAGTTCTGTCTAACCCATACTGGCATGTGTTGAGCACTTGATGTTTATCTCATCCTCATGCCTTCCACAGTCTCCCCGTGTGAGAATGATGCACTTGCATTTATGGCCCAGTCCTGGTTCCCCTCTGATGATTTTTGTATTGCATATTTTTATGTTAGTGTAACTGCTAACTATTTACACATCACTTCTCTTTTTTTCCTTGATTTGGTGATCTCGGTTTGCACATATGAAGCATTGTGGACATACATACATTTTGTTGACTGAAGTTGAGTTGAAATAAACATCCTTAAAAATTGAATAGCTTTCTTCCTACTTGCTCTTCTTAGGTATGCTTACAGATTCCATTTCTCAGATACCATTGTCTCAGCTAAAAATAAAAAATTTTGGCTATGTTAAAATCCTTATGGGAGTTACCGGGCTTGAATTACATAAGCTGAAATAATTTCTGCCCTAATAATGTCTTCATAGGCACTAAAAAGCTTTTAAGCATTTTTTTTACTGGAACACTCCCATTTTTGTTAGAGAAGCTATAGAAAATATTTTTTATGGAAAATGTTGTCTTGATTTTAAAAGCCAAACATTGTCAGTGCCAAATGTAACACAATAAATACCACAGCCAAGTGTAGCAGCTCTAAAATGATGGAAATTTTGGATTTCAAGTCAAATTTTCTTTTCTACATGTAAGCAGTGTGTTCCTAGAATTTGCTAAATGGTTCTAGGCTATTTTTCTAGTAACAGTGAATCATGAAATTTGAGACTGCTGGTCTCTAGAAATCAATGTAGTTTCCTGCTGGATATGATTTCCACCTTGAACACTGCAGTATGAGAATGCAGTTCTTTTGGATATGAACTTGGAAAGTGTTGAATCTCTCCTGCAGAAAAATGCCCAAGAGATGAGTAACACTTTGTTAATTTTCCAATATTTTTTTAATAATTAATGACTTTGGACTGTACTACTCCAACAAGACATAATCTCATGAGAAAAAATCAGAACTGAATTTAAAGAGTAAGATGAAACCTGTCAGTTTGGTGGTTGCACTGATTAATGTATTAAGCCTTTCTTGAACCTTTCAACTTAGTCCATGGCCATAGTTACCTCTATAATTTTAGGAGGAGAAACCACTCAGAGATTAGAAATTACAGCTCCCTTCAGCTTTGGTTGACTGTTTGTTTAGGTTCTCCCTCTTTCTCCTAGGTGGACCCAACATTGTAACTTCCCCTTCCATTCACCTTCAGTAAAAGCAAGATAAAGGGAAACTTTTAAACAAATTGAGCATTTATTAAACACATGTAGTTAATTCAATGCATTAAGAAAGTAATGAATTTTTAAACAGTCTTACAAAATAGCAGGACTTCATGAATATGCTGTTGCTTGAACTATACTTATGTAGTATAGTAAAGCATATGACCCTTTGAGACAGATGTAATTGCAACTGTAGCAGTCAGGAGGTTCAATTACCAGAAGAAATAGCACAGAAGGTGTTGCTGGTCAATGACAGATCAGTGCAGTGCCAGTGGACACTTCAGGATGGCGGTGTGAAACTGGATCTGTGGCACCAAAGCTGTTCTAGTGAGCAGCAGAGGGATGGGAGCAGGAGTTGAAAGGAGTGAATGTCATGGAGATGGGGACAGTCTGGGCATTGGTGAAATTATAAAGAGTCAGGTTGTTGTCACTCCTAGCTTGTCTTCATCTACAGTTAAATTATCATTATGATTAGCACTCAGTAACCCTAAGAATTATGATGAATGTCACTCTGAGGAATTAATATATTTATTTCAGATTTCTTACAGTATTCCGAATACTCTTTCACTATTTTCCCCTAAATTGCATCTGATACAGATTAAATAATATGTCTTTCATGTTTGGAGTAGTTTATTTTCATAGGAAAAAAGAAAATAAACTGTCTAAACTGTCTTGGTGGAAATCTCCACCCAACCTTCATCCAGCCTTCACTCCTCCCAACCTGCACCTACTAAAGCTTCTGAAAGATGGTTATCTCAAGGACTCTGCTGTGACACAAAAGGAAACTGGCATTGCAGGCAAAGCAGAAAATACAAACAAGATGGGAGTTTTGAACTATGATCAAAACTGAAAGAGGATTTATTCATTCATTGAAAGATCGATAGTTTTATGGAGGGAATCCTCAGTGCAAAGTGAGGCCGGCTTCCACCCGCCAAGCATGTCTGTATCATGTCAAATGTTAACTTCTGTTGAAAGTTTTTGCTTTAGTCCCTCTTGACACACACAGAGAAAATTTTAGCATGTTACTCCCAACATGTTTTTTGAAAGCAATGGTTAAAAATTTGTTTAAAAATTGTTGTGTCAATTGGATGTGAGGGAGGGTTGCAAGATGCTGATTTTTCTTTCAATGTTCTGGTCTGCATCTTATATTGGGACTATATAATTTGTAAAAACCCTGATTTCTTTTCAAGTGTCTCAGGTGAGTGGGCAAGAGGCAAATGTTTTTTCTTAATATTTTTCAATACACAGGATGTTTGACACAAGCATTACATTTAATAAAATGCTTGCAGTACATCTTGAGTGTAACAAGCCAGATTAGCAATTAAGTGTTGCGGTACATCTCCAGAGCAGCTCACCTGGTTGGTTTTGCCTTACAATTCATTACTCTAGGAAAGTGATTTTGCAGAGTCACTGTGAAGACATTGACGAGGATCCTGTTCTTTAGGGGACAAGAAGCCCAAGTTGTTCTGCTTATATGAACTCGAGTTCTAAAACCCCTTTGGAGAATGCTGGACACAGGAGGTGGTACATTCAAGTTATGTGTGGTTGTGTCTAAATAGAGCCAGCAGAGCTTATCTTTGTCAGGGCAAGGCTTCAAACTGATGCTCACATTCCTTTTAACACCACTAGAAATACACATTTTTCTTTTCATTCAGTCTGCCTAATTTTTTGCCCAATGCCACAAGAAATCTGATTTAAAAGCCTCATATTTCCCTAATTGCTAACAAAGGATTTTACATGACCACACTCAGTCACACACTGTTTAAGTATTGTGGGATGCCCTGTTTTAGCCTGCTGAAGTTCAAGAATAAATATTAAAATCTGTTTCATAAATATTGGCTAAATTTGAAGTGTTGATTGGCAATATTTACTAATTGCTATTTCAGAATAGTGACCTTATGGTTTGTGCTTATTTTTCCATTATAAAAGAATGAAGAATAAATGAGTGACAGAATTACCAAAATTATTATTATATTGTTGCATAACATGAATAAAAAATGCTTCTTGCTGTGGCTTCAGATAGCTGAAGAGAGGATACAGCTATTGTAGCTTATTTAATTTTGTTAGCAGAAGGATTAGATTTTTAAGAAATTAATTATAAAATGATCATTACTGTTCCAAATATAATGGCTTATCCTTCTTAATCTTTGGAATATTTTTCCCTGGTGTTTTTTGTAGGTATGTATGGTATACATATGATCATTAATAACTAGCTTAATGTTTTAATATGGAATAGGATATTTCTAAAAAGCCTACACCTGAGTCTGTCATCTGTTGCAGGTCATATTCCTCTTAAATTTTCTGAGAAATACAATATTTCATAAAGATAATAGTTGTTTGGTTTGGTTTGTTTGGTTTGTTTTTTTTTAATTTTTAATCTATGCATTATGGTGTATGTCTCCTAGTCATTTGAGAATGGTTGTTTTTTGTGGAATAAGTGTCTCAATAATAGAGAGGAGATAAATCCAGCAAAATTGAGGTTCTTGCACATGCATATATGTAGACACAGACACCAGATACATCAGATACACTGCATGAAAGCACCCACTCAGCTATTCATAGGGTCACCTCATAGAAAGAAAAAGTATCCTGCTTTCAGTGATAAATTATAAACTGAAGACAATACATATAAAATGTGCATACTTCCCAAAATAATTTGTTGCACTCAGTTTCATCGAAATTACTTACATGTGAAAATAATTTATACTGAACATTTTTCTTCCTAAGAGATATCATTAACTCAAATATAATTAAACTAGGGGTTTTATCTACGGTTTGATTTAGAAAAATAAGATTAGAAGGACATAGAGGAAAATGTGGGAAACATGGTTACCTCTAATTTTGTCCATATACTGGATGGATTTCAGGATGACAGTATTACAGCATTTCTGGCTTTGCTATTTTATTGCTTTGTAAGTCCCTTAATTTTCAGTCTTACCCTAACTTTGCTGTCTCATTGTTCCTTATGATCCTTTTGATTTAGGATGCAGAATAGAAAACTGTGACTCCTGCTTTAGCAGAGACTTTTGTACCAAATGCAAAAGTGGCTTTTACTCACACAGAGGCCGCTGCTTTCGAGGATGTCCCGCTGGATTTGCAGCCTTGGAAGAGCTTATGGAATGTGTGGGTGAGTCAAGTAGCTCTTTGGCTAGGTGGCCATGTTTAAATATGGCACTACTTTATGATGATGCTTAGTATTTCTTATCAGGAAATATTCAGTAAGGAATTATTATTGATTTCTTTACTGATAATACTAGTAAATTTTTCCAAACTTTAAAATACGCTTCCCTGGGAATGTCACTCTCTCTCCTGTGCATCACTAAGTTCTGTCCTCTTAACTTTAAAATCACCTTTATGAAGATTTTATGCTCAGAATTTGTAAGATTTTAGGAATTGTGTCAGAACAAACTCTTTCTTTCAAGAGTATTTCTTGCATTTCATGATGGAGAGGACTTGCAAATGTGAACTTCTGAAGTTTTCAAACCCAGGTGACAACCAAATATGATCTATATATTAGATAGAAAAAAAAAAGTCAATCTCATTAGCTTAGGAGAGTTTTTGAATATTTGGGACTGTCATAACATATCAAACACACAGCTTTATATTCTGGGGTTTTTTTGGTTGTGTTGATGCTGGCTAAAAAGATTCAGATTCTGTAAGAGATGTTAATTTTGTTACTAGCTTTTTACACGCTAATGGCAAAACTGTCAGGTGTTGCTTTCTACCAATATACATTGTATTCTAACAAAAAAAAAGAAAAAAGGAAAACAAAACAAAACAAAACAAAAACCAGAAGGATTGCTCACTTGTGTTTTCTTTTGCTTTATCAGAAGGCTGTGAAGTGGGTCAATGGAGTGAGTGGGGAACTTGCAGCAGAAATAACAAAACTTGTGGATTTAAGTGGGGCCTGGAAACGAGAACAAGACAAATTGTGAAGAAGCCAGCAAAAGATACAATACCATGTCCAACCATTGCAGAATCCAGACGGTGTAAAATGGCCATGAGGCATTGTCCAGGAGGTAAGTTTAGCCCATGCCAGAAAAATCTTTATGAGCTGAAGGCCAAATTCTGTCTCTGTTCTGTCAGCCAAGGCTGAAAAGCAGTGATAGTACATCAGTCCTAGTCTGTATAGAAACACTCAGGGAGGGAGCAATCAGTCCTTCAGCAGACTGTGAAACTGTGTTTTTCCTGGTGTGGTCCTGAGGCTTTTTCAAAGAAGTGCCTCATGGAAGAATGGTTGCAGTTTTGAGCTTCAGCATGGAAATGATGCTGATGGTGGAAGAACTACTTACTCTTCACGTGGCAGGAAAGATTATGACTCTAAACCACCCTGCAGGTGGCACACACAGTGCTGGTGTGCTGGGTATTTAAATTAAAAGACGTTAGTTACACATGGCATTGCTAGCTGGAACATATTATTTGTTTTGAATATTCCGGAGCAAGGCCAAACTGTGATAGATGTGATACAAGCAGAACAGTGATAGATATCAAGATTTTCAGCTTGAGACCAGCCTATGACAACTGCCCCAAGTAAATAAAATCCAATTTCTTTATCATGGTGTTGCAAGACTTAAGTAGTGATGCTGATGTGAGAAAGGAAATCAAGTTTCAAATTTGGGCTTGGTTTTTGTAAACCTCAAACTGAAGACACATCACTGCTGGGGAGTTTTTGTTATCTTTTAAGTTGAAAAGTTTAACTTCTCAGGTATGGATTCTGACAACTTAAAGAAGTTTCAAAATTTGTAGGAGTGGTGGGTGATCAGCAGGTGATAAAGATGCCATTCCTTTCAGAGTCACAGGGTTAAATAAAGAATGGACTTCAAGAGATCTCAAGTCAAACCTCCTGCTGGTAGCTGAGTCAACTGTGAAATCAGACAAATAAAAAGAGAAATAAAGGGTTGAAGAATCCTGAGGAAAGACATAACATGATGAATAAGATAAACCTGAAAAGTCTTAGAAAATGTACATAAATAAGTTGCTTTGTATTCTGGGATTGTTGAAGGTGTCTATCTTGGCTTGAACATTCTGCCTACCAGTGTGTATGTATGTTATACATAGAGTTTTATCTTATGGATTCAGATTAAATATCTGTAAGCTTCATTTTTTGTCTCTAGGACTGCAAGTCAGTCTGGAAGGGTACATAAAGCTGATTCTCTGTTATCCAGGTTGACAGACTATGATGTACTTTCCTTCCTTATCCCACTCCCTGTATTCATACACACATGTAGGGCTCAGTCACAGCGGTACAGGGGGCATTGTACAGCACAGTTAATCTCAACATAAATAGAACTCTCAAAGGTATTGAAGAATGGAACCTACAAAATTAACATCTCTGTAGGAAAGAAGAAGAAAAGGCATAAATGAAGGCTGATTTGGGCTTGGTATGTATGTCATGGTATCTTTGAATATTAGCCAGCTGGCTCTGCATCAAGGTAGTGGCACTTACCAGTGCTTGCAGCCTGCTGGGTGATCCAGTTCCTTGAAACAGACTCTGGATCCCAAATTGGGTTAGTAATCAGATCAACTGAGGAAATGTTTTACTGCTGAAATGAAAGGAAATAAAAAGGGCCCATGACAAGTTCTAGAAATCTCCAATCAGTGTTTTCTTTCTTCTCATTTGCCTTCAAATGCAGGCAGTTTAGCTTGCAGTGAAAAATTTGAGAAAATTGCAGAATTTTTTCAATTCAACATCATGTGGTAGAGATTTAGTTATTTATGTACTCACTGTGTACAAAGGCAGGATTTTATTGATGCAGCATCCAACTTCTATAAAAATTCCTAGCAAGTAGAAATATGGATTTGGTCTTGATAATTTAGTTAGGATACAAATTATTCAAATTGTTGTAAAAAGTTTGAGAAGCGTGCTTAAGTGAACCATAATATTCAAGCAGGCTGTAGCATGCTCATGTAACTATGTTAATTTGGGCATTCATACCTTTTTATGTCATATTCTCTTAGGTTGTTTCAAATTTTCTTGTCTAGAAATTCAGGTCACTGCTTAAAGATTTACATCTCAAATTTATGTTTTAAAAGGCACAGTGGCTTTCCTAAGTGTGAGGATATTTATTGGTGTCCATTGCCTAGTGTCCATATGTATTAATTGGTGTTCATTGCCTAGTGTCCATATTGTCTCTGTATTAAGATCCATGATCAAAACTTTGGTTTTTTTCCACCACATATCAGGAAAGTTGTTGCTGAAAATACAATTTCAGCGTAGTACTTGTAGTGCTCTTTCATGGGCTTCAGTAAATCCTAAAGATTACAATCCTGTCCTCCCATGGTGTGGAATTCTTTGCATCTGTTTCCAGAGATAAAAATAAATGTGTACAACACTGCAGGTTTGAACTCTCCACACTGACTACAGTATTTAGTACTGCTTCTGTGCCATCATAGAAAACACCTCCCAGAGTATAAGCTCCTTTCTCTCTCCTAAGAAACTCCTGGGAGAGTGTTAGTAGTGTTTTAAGTGCCTAGGGTGTCTTCCCCAGACCTGGTTATCTCTGCAGGTGAGGAAGCCACAGGGGCTACTCTGTATAGAACTCCTGCTTTGTAGTATGTTTTAATTTATATTATATACAGGACTGGTCTAAGACCCTGCTCCTTTATCATATTTTAGTATGGTTGCCACATTAGACACTCAAAATGTTTTATTGCCTATTTGATCACTGTGACATAGTGGGAGGCTCAGACACAGCTTACAGTTCTGGCTGCTGAGGAAGAGATCCTGAGTCTTTAAAAATATCGTGCTTTCCTAATGTTAGGAATTTTGTGACTGAACTTTTAAACTGAAGAAATAATAAAAAAAAATTGTAAGGTTAGCGCTTCTGGGAGACTGAAGAACCATAATCTCCTGTAAATGTCAGTTGAGAAGCTATTAATAAATCCTTTCATCCTAATGTTCTCAGTACATAAACTCACACAAATGTGGAGAATAAGTATTGGATTATACAGCTAAGATGATTGAAGATTGTGATGGATTAAGCTGAGCACAGGAAGTCAGGATATTTTTGGTAGAATAGGGTCAAATAAAGTGCTTTTGTCATGTGCTTTCTACTTCTGTACATTTTAAAGTTGCTATTTATAGTCCACACTACAGGGAAACATCCAAAACAGATTTTTATGCATTTGCAATAGAAGGAAAGTTAAAGAAGGAGAGTTAAATTCTATTTTCCTATTAACTATTTCAGTTTCATATTTTTAAAGTGCTACCCAGCTGGCCATATGGCAGTGGTACAGCTTCAGTTTTTGATGAATGATCTATCACTTTCTCCAGTGTCTGCAGAGCTGTAGAGATACAAAATTGAATGCAAGTGAAAGATCATTTAACTTTTTTCCTACTGAAGCTAGCAACATAAGAATAACACTGATTTCATATTTGTTAATTAGAGATATTTCCTTAGTGTCAGTAGTTACTGATTTAACTATTACTGTATGGAAATGTCACATTTGTATATCTGTTAATGTTACATAAGTTACCCTTCGGCTTTGACTGTAATGTGAATTCTACTTTGAGAGGTTGGACTTAGACAAAGGAGACTTGGCGTGTTCAGGCCACCTTCTATCCATGATGGTCTCTTCCTGATAAGGAATTTTCTTCTCTTTTGTTCAAAAAGAGAGAAAACCAGAATAAAAAAAAAAAAAAAAAAAAAAAAAAAAAAAAAAAAAAAAAAAAAAAAAAAAAAAAAGAGGAATTCAGCAGTCAGAAATGTAAAATAGACTGATAAATCTTGCTCTCTTCATGTTTTCCCATATATTTACTATAAATATAATATTTATATTATATTTAAATTTTATGTAAGTATAATATTGTACCTCTTATTGGTATGTTGCTCATGTTTACCTCAGCAATTGCTCCTCTTTTGTTTGTACACTCCAGGAACCTGCAGACTGGTTCAATTACTCATATTAAGAGTTGCATAAGCAAGCAAAGTAGCTCTCTGCTATTTTAGTGCTCATCAGACTTCAGTTCTTCAAGCTGTCCGAAACTTGAATATTACTCTGTGCCAAAGTAATACTTCTGCAAGTGCACATTGCTGGCCCATGTCCAGCCTCTCACCCACCAGCACCCCCACGTCCTTCTAGGTCACCAAAGCCTTCTATTTTCCAGGCTCAACAAACCCAGTTCCTTCAGTCTCTCTTCACAGGGTAAACACTTCAGCTCCTCATCGTGTTGGTGATGCTGTGCCAAACTCTATCAATATTTTTCTTTTCTTGAGCTGAGGGACCCAAAGCTGCATATGGTGTTCTAGATGTGGTCCGATGAGTGTCAAATAAAGGGAGATGACCACTTCCCTTAATCTGCTGTCACGCTGTACTAACAGGTCAGCAGATTGAAGGGAGTGATTGCTGCTGCTGTGGCTCAAAGTTGGCTCACATTTAGCTCAAGTTTGATCAGGACCTTCCCAGGAGACCTGTTCCCCAGATAGTCCATAGCCAGCCCATATTTTTTCAGGGAGTACTTCCTTCCCAGATGCTGGACTTTGCACTTTTTTGAATTTCATGAGGTTCCTTTCAGCTACAATGAATCTTTTCCTCATGAGTGAGATAAAAACCAGTCAAAATAAATATAACATCAGAACTCAGTGAATGATCAGGCAGTTGGTCACATCCTTTTGAGCTTTTTTTATGCATCTACATTGTAGTATCCAATGTTGTAAAGTTTGTAAGCTATGTTGCCACAAGAACAGAGAGCTAAGTGGGAAAGGCTGGTCCAGGAGCAGGAAGAACTGCTGCCTCCTCCATGAGGACTATCAAGCATTTGGCTGGATTGGTCCAGTAGATTGTGTAGGCACCATCCTTGGAAGTTTCCAAGACCTGATTTGACAAACTCTTGAACAATCTAGTCTGAAATGTCTCAGTCTTACTGAGAGTGTTGGACTGGGGATCTCAGTCCTGCTGATGCTTGGACTGGGGACCAGTCTGAGTGATTCTGTCTGAATGACAGCATCTCCTGTGGGCATGTGCTGAAAGGACACTCTTCTTCCTGTTTGAGTTTTGCAAAATTTCTGATAACTTCTGC